ATTCATCTCTGGACAAGGAGAGGACTTGAGATCACCCACAAGTGCCCCTGACAGTTGCTCCTTTTGAGGAGACTGCAGGACAGTGGTCTCCAGTGGATTTAGAGCTCTGGGAGGCAAGGGAAGAGCCAGCTTGCTCAAACCATGGTTGACACCTTTAAAAGGACACTGGGTTTGCATATTTCCTTTTCTAATCACTTTCAGAAATTGCTTATTAACTGCTTTTCAGCTAGTAGGAACCTTTGGATCAACAAGTCTGAAAACACTGGATGAGTTTCCTTCAATCCTTAGTGAAAGAAGTTTTAAATACAAGTTTAAGGACTTAATTCTTTTTCTGGAAAAAGAGTGATTAAAATTTTGATTTTAGAAAGTTACAAACGGACTAAGGGTCCAGATAAATTTGGAATAAGATTTTTGAATTAATTATAAAGAATCTTTCCCATAGGAAAGTGCTTTTGTTTTGAACTCTTTAAAAAAATATAAGATTTTAAAAATTAGACACTAGAGGGAACTAGAAGGAATTAAAGATTACAATTAAATTACAATTCAGCTCAACTTTCTAATACAGAATGAAGCAAAATATTTTGGCATTGGACACAAAGAAGGATATTTTTGAACAATGGACCCAGAAGTTAATTTTAAGAGTGTCTGCCTCTATAGATAAACTGTGTTTAAAAGATGTTATGAAAGAGGAACAAGTATTACCTGACATGATTGAGACTGATTTGAAAGTGGATTTAAAAATGACAGGTTATAAGAATGGCATGGAAAAAGATATTACACTGGATATACAAAATAAACTGGCTGATGTCTTATTAATTAAAAGGAATATACAAATAACAAACCAAGAGAGTCACCTGGATAATTTTCCTATACTGGATTTACAAAAGAGGCTTGTTAAAGCTTTGAAGAATTATGTGAGAAGGGACAAAGAAAAATGAAAAGAAATCAAGTTCTAGGACATTATTTGAAGAGACTGAAGATCAAGACTGTTAGAAGTAAAAGGAAGGAATATAAAGTTGGTTTATTTGATCAAGGTTAAAATAGATACGTTGTTATCTCTGGTAACCCTTAATGGACTTTTGCTGACATCAGGACTGAAACGATGTTTGAAGAATTATGTGAGAAGGGACAAAGAAAAATGAAAAGAAATCAAGTTCTAGGACATTATTTGAAGAGACTGAAGATCAAGACTGTTAGAAGTAAAAGGAAGGAATATAAAGTTGGTTTATTTGATCAAGGTTAAAATAGATACGTTGTTATCTCTGGTAACCCTTAATGGACTTTTGCTGACATCAGGACTGAAACGATGAGTTTTTATGCATTTGTTTATATGGGATATGGGAAGAAGAGATCATTTGTTGTATTTTAAGGGAAGGTGATAAGTCATTAAAATTGTTTATACTTGTGATGAAGGGGGAAGTCACATCTATCTATCTATCTATCTATCTATCTATCTATCTATCTATCTATCTATCTCATCTTCTTTACTACATTCTCACTTTTCTTTCTTTTCTATTTTTTTTTCTTTTCTGAATCTCTTTTTTCTTTTTCTAGTTTGTATTAGTTTTTATTGTTGTAAATTGCAATCTTTAATAAGTATACTATATATAAAAAGAAAATCTCTATTTATTGATTGATATTTTAGAGTGTTTCACATAGACAATATTTTCAGTAAGATCTGGGGGGGGGGGAAGAGAGGAGATAGAAACCTACAAAATGAAAAAGCATCAAGCGAAATCTTCAGCTTTAAAACAGCTTTGCATCACCTCTGAAAGATTCAGGGATTTATTTTTCTCTGGTGGAAAGGAATAAATGGGGTCATCCACCATGCTTTGCCTGCTTATATATCCTTGGTGGACAGCAAAGCCACAAAGGGGGCTCAGAGAGGATTTGATGTATCAGTAGAAAAGTAGGGATGTGAGAGGGTTTGGTAATTGTTTCTGCTGCTGTCTTCCAGCGCAACTCTCCCTGACCAATTGTTAAAGCAATCCATGATCATCAAACTGATTGTGTCCCACCAGGATAAATCGGTAAATTTCAACTTTATCTGAAGAGGCCATAACTGATCCACATGGCCGCAACTAGTTCTTTTTCCAGAAGTTCCTTTGGTTTGGACAAATTCCAACACTTAACTCATCAACCCTTAACTACCTCCAACTGCGGCCATGTGACTTACCAATTTCCAGAATATGACACCTACAGCTAGACACACAAACACGCAAAGAGAAGAGTGCTGCCTCATCTTCAAACCCCTGATAGCAGGAATACAGATCCATCGGAAGGCTGGACAGCATACAGAAGTTGTCTCCAAAATGGCATATTGCAATTTGCTTTATGTGGGGCTGCTTGTGAAGATAATTTGGGAATTTTTGTTGGTAAAAAGGTGGCTGCCAAGCTGGGACTAGAGCAAAATCATTCCAGTTCTAGCTGCACTGGCTATCGGTCTGTTACCCAGCTTAATGCTAGAGTTCACTAAACCCTGTGAGATACGGCCTGCTCAGCAACCCCAATTATGAAATTCCTTCTACCTGGTTTCTCATAGCCCCTCCAGTGCAGGCCAAAGTGCAACCAGTTCATAGCCCTGGGAATAATTTCTGTGATTCACAAGAGTTTTCTTTTAATAACAGTACACTTCTCTGAAGTATCACATAGAACAGTGTCTTTCAAACTTGGCAACTTGTGGCTGGGGGATTCTGGGAGTTGAAGACCACACATCTTAAAGTTGCCAAGCTTGAAAAACACCGACATAGGACCTTCCAACTTTCCACTGTGTATGCCACATTGTGAGGCTTGGCCCTGAAAAGTGGCTTATAAACATTTTGAATAAATAATTATTTCTGACATGGTGTTTGTCAAATGTGTACATCTGGTGTGCCTATGGGGTGTCATTTGTAGGGGAATGGACTACAGTGAGTGAATGTCTATATAGCTGTGTGTATTGCACTATGTCCAAGATTTCTACAACTTAGTGCTTTCCAGATGTGTTAGAATACAGCTTCCAATCTTTCCACTTGGAGGTCGCCAAAGGAAGGGAAGATCCATCTAGAGGATATTAAGCTCAAAACAAGAGTACCATCCTAAGCACCTGTTGGCGAATCATCACAGGAAACTCTCTTGCTTCTACCCTCACTGGTTCTTGAAGGAGGTTCTAGGAGCTGTTCTGAGGGATGACCCTGGAAGAGAAGAGTTGTTGACTGGGTGATCTTACTCCTGAAGCATTCCCAGTGATCATTTCTAGTCAGCATTCTTTTCTTCCTCTACTGCTACCCCCAGTAGGATATCTTCGTGCAGCTGAAGTAGCTGTGGGGGTACCTATGACTTGGGCTCCCTGGCAATGCTGAGATTTAAACAAAATGCCTGTCAGTGCCATCCTATATATGTCTCCCCAAAAGAAAGCCCTACTAATTTGGGTGAGATTTACTCCTTGATAAGTGTGTATATGGTTGCAGCCTGAATCTTCTAAGAAGAGGAAACCCAGAAAAGAGTGATAATGATGGACAGATCTTCTTTGGGAAAAGCTACCTTGTTCCTCTGAGGAAGTTCTCACAGTAGTCCAATTCTCTCCTTATTCAGCCAAAATCTGAATATTGCAAAATCATTGGATATTGCAGTGAGCCTTCTAATTCAGCAAAATGGCTAAATCCAATATTTGGCCCTTGGAATCAGCGGCCATTAGTGAAATCAAGGGGGGTAGACATGGGGGAAACACGTACCTGTAGTATCTTGGCTTTTTAAACAGGGTATTAGGGAGATGGATGCAATATGGATATGGGGTATGGGGAAAGAGCTGAGTATAAGCCTATGCAGAAAGTTACAGGCTAGGTTAACCAGGCTCTGGCCACTGGAAGGGATCAATTAGGACAACTGTATCCATGCCTCTAGAAAAGGTGAAGCAGGTCTGCAGATGAGATGATCCTTGCCTGCTGGAATGGACCAGTGCACAGCTTGATTAACCTAAAGGGCTCCAGAGACAAAAGCCCAGCGTGATAATAGGGCAGGGGTCTCCAAGAAGCTCTGCTATCCCAGCCCTTTGTTCCACAAATATGTTTCCAAACCTGCATTTCTTACACAGTTTCCTGGCCCTCTCTAAGTTTGTCAGCAGATGGAGAACTTGTTTCAGCTGTCCCGGATTTACTCAGCAATACGAAGGACAAAACTGGTCTTCTGGAGTGCTGACTCACTTAGTGTCGACTGGACTTAATGCCTTTCCCCCTACACGTGTAAGTACTCGTCTGCCTATTACAAGTCTTGGTGATATCTAAGCATGAAATAGTTGCAATAATTCTAGTCCTCTTAGTGCAACGAACACGCCAATGTCAAGGGAAGGAAGGAAGGAAGGAAGGAAGGAAGGAAGGAAGGAAGGAAGGAAGGAAGGAAGGAAGGAAGG